CCACCCCGCTCACCCAGCAGGGACTGGATGGTGGTGCTGCACTGCTGGAGCCGGTCGCCTGGGTCGGAGGTCGGGAAGAAGACGGCCGCCGGCAGGCCGCTGGCCGGCGGGTCCAGCCGGAAGCCCACAGCGGTGAGGAGAGCCTGCCAGCCAGGGATGCCACCCACTTTGTTCTCCACGCTCTGCTGGGAGGTGTACATGGCATTGCGCTGCCCATTCTGGATGCGCTGCAGGGACTTCTCCACCTGGAAGGGCGACGGGGGTGAGGCCACCGTGATGCCTGCGGACCCTGCCTGAGGCGGAGGCCCTAGGCGGCCAGCGCGGGCTGCTCCCTGCGGCCTTCCGCAGACCTGCGGCGTAGCACCCGTCTGTGAACGGGGCACTGTGACACTGGGGTGACTCGCGTGGGAAAGCACAGATGGAAAGGACACGCAACCAGAACCGGCGAGGGCGGCCTATCTCTGGAAAAGGTTCCAGCCTTACCCTACCATACCTGCGCTCCAGGCCCTCCTCCACAAGGATCTCGAGTGATTTCCAAAAACGAAGCGGAGGGGCCTGGCCCGAACCACTGCCTGGCTCCCACCACTGCAGGGTCCCCACCTCAGGCCTTCCAGCCCCTTGTCCAGTCCAGCGGGGGCCGCCCACGTCTCTCGTGCAGGCCCCTCCTCCCCTGTACCTCCACTCCCCCAGCTTCCTGCTGCTCTGGCCTTTGGAACCTGCCCTCCCAGGGGTGCCCCCATCTGTCAGGGCCAGACCTGGTGTTTGGCATGAGGGCTGAATTCGCCCAGGTTACCACTCGCTCCTGCCTGAGTGAGCATTTTTCATGGTATTTCACATGGCTTTCCCCAGGTGTATCCCTGGCCATCCACTCTCCTGGTCGGAACCTCTGCTCATCCCAGGGTGCTGTGTGCCCTGGGAACACAGTCTGTCACTGGAACGCGTTATCTAGGAGGTCACCAGAGACGACTCTTACAGTAAAACGCTGGGGCACTGAGGCTGGGGTGTTCCAGGCAGGAGTGAGTGTGGCACTCACAGTAGCCGTGAGGGAACAGCAGGACAGACACCCTGTCCCTCAGGCTGGAAGGGCCTCAGAGACACTCCGCCCACAGGGGCCAAGGGGTATTGAGTGATGGGCCAGGATGGCAGCAAGGTGCAGTTTAGGACGTAGGGGTTGGTGACCTTCACCCACGGCCAGCACACCCACTGGAAGAAAAGGCCAAGACAAGAGAAAACCCTTAAAGGGGCCTCAGGGCAGAATGGGGGTTGCTGAGGGGCCTAGGGTGAGGGCAGCTTGGTTTCCTAAGAGAAGTGGCCTGGGGGCTACAGCAAGGATGGAGGGAGTCCGTGGGGGTGACAAGGCCCTGAGAGGGCCCGTGTGCTGAGCTTCGTAAAGGCCCCCAGGCAGTTTCCAGACCCTGGTTAGAGGCAGCTGGGCCACGGCTCCAAAGCAGGCGAGCATGGCCACAGGCTGCAGGGGCTCCCTCAGGTTTGGCCCGAGCGTGGCTGGGAGGTTTTCAGGGGATAGCCTTCTTAACCTGGCAACTGATCTCCCTCAGGCAGACCCTACCTTCAGGATTTGCACAGCTGGTCTACCAGCAGAAATGCGCAGAGAACTGCCACCCTCTGGCCAGGCTTGTGGTCGAGAGGGTCTGCCCTGGCCCTCCCTGTCCACGGTCATCTGCAGGGCCCCCAGGCCATGTTCTGGGTACCCAGGACCCTGACACCCGCCTGCTTGTGTCCCCTGTGCTATGCTACCCCACCAGCCCCTCCCCACCAAGCCTTTTCAGTCAACTCAGGGGCTCCATGCCTCCTAGGGAAGCTCTGAGTAGGGGGCTCCCTGGGCCCGCAGGCCCCTTACCAGGTGCAGGAGCACTCGCAGGGCATCCCGCGCTCGCTCCGGGTGCTGCAGGATCTCTGTGAGGGCCTGACCGATGAGGGATGAGGGGCTGTTCAGCTTGACATCGCTCCCAATGAGCATGAAACCTGTGGGGGACACGGGGGCGGCGCTCAGACCTGCATCTCGGCCTCCAGCTCCCAGCAAGGGCTCCCTCTGTCGCAGTGAAGCACCGGAGCCATGGGCCTGGCTGGTGGACCGTGGAGCAGCCAACTCACTGGGTGGCCACCTGGCGCCCTCTGTCCCCTTGCATTTGGGACCCAGTTTTTTTAAAAATACATTTTATTGAAATTGATTTATGTACAGTGAAATACACAAAAGTGAAGTGCATGGATCAATGCATTTTCTTTTTTGCAGTGTTCCCTCCCCTCCCCTCCCCTTCTACCCCTGGTAAAACCAACAAAGTTCCCTTCCATATATAAACCTTTCCTTGACTTTTTACAATGAACTAATACTGTATTTGGCTTTCTGTGATTGACTTATTTCACTCAGCATAGTGTCATCCAGGTTCATCCATGTTATGTGGTGTTTTGCAGATTCTACATTGTTCTTTAGTGTTGCATAGTATTCCATTGTGTGTAATTATCGACAAGCATGAATTTGTTGCTGTCATTTTGTTATGTGCTTTTTTGTGTGTTCCTGATTTCTTTCTTCCATATAATTTTCTGTGCTGAGCTCATTTTGTTTATGAATCGTGTTATCACTTCCTTCGTTGCTACTGTTTCAGTATTTGCTAAACATCTGTGCTGGTTCTCTTCCTCTTTTTTATTTTGATGTGAAAGTTTTATCATTTTTCTTTGAGGTTACCCTGTGATTTATCACTTTCTTCCCAAGTAGAACAGTCCATTATATCTTGCAGTTGTCTTGACTTCCACACCATTTAAAAGTTCTGTAACTACACAATTTTTCCCCTCTTTTTGGTTTGTAGTTGTCCTCATTTGTCAAACGATGTCTCTGGTTCCCTGTTTACAATCTTGTAGGCTTATTTACTTTGAATACCTTCCATAACTGGGTTGGTTTCTGGGTTATGTCATCACGTGTGTTAATGGTCAGTTGTCATTTGCTGTTGTTGGTTCTCTGTCCAAATGACTCCCTTTAGAATCTCTTGTAAGGTTGGTCTGGTTTTAACAAATTCCCTTAACTTCTGCTTATCTGGAAATGTCCTGATTCCACCATCATATTTGAGGGACAATTTTGCTGGGTATATAATTCTTGGTCAGAAATTATTTTCTTTCAGGGTTTTATATGTACCATCCCATTGTCTTCTCACCTGCATGGTTTCTGCCAAGAAATCCAAGCTTAGTCTTACTGGTTGCCCCTGATAGGTAACTTTTCATCTTTCCTGTTCTGCTTTCAGGGTTCTTTCTTTGTCTTTGGTTTTGGTGAGTTTGATGATGATATGTCTTGGTGATTTTCTTTTCTATCCTGTTTGGGGTTCATTGGACTTCTTGAATGGATATGTTCTTGTCTTTCATCATATCAGGGAAATTCTCTTCCAGTAAATCTTCAACAATTTTCTCTGTGGTTTTATTTGTCTTTTCCTGTTTTAGAATTCCAATTGTTGTTGTTGTTATGTGCCGTCAAGTCAGCCCCAACTCAAAGCGACCCCACCTTGGGTTTCCGAGGTGGTATCATTACAGAAGTAGATTGCCCAACCTTCCTTCTGAGGAGTGGCTGGTGAGTTTGAACTGCCAGCCTTCTGGTTAGTAGCCAAGTGCCTTAGGCACTATGTTACCAGAGCTCCTGGAATTCCGATTACATGTAGCTTATTCCTTTTGATGGTATCCCAAGTGAACCTTAGCCTTTCTTCATTTTGTTTTGATCTTTTTTCTGATTGATCCCTTTTCAAAGAAATATTCAGGTATTTGTCTTCAGCCTCACTAATTCTGTCTTCCACTGATTCAATTCTATTCCTTTGCCCATGCAATGTGTTGCCTATTTCTGAAAATTTAGTATTAATCTTCTGGATTTCTATCTGTACATTTTGTATCATTTCTAATTTTTCATTTATTTTGTCATTTTGTTCTTGTATTGTCTTTCAAAGTTGTTCTAGGGTTTTCTTTGTGTTTTCCTCAATGTGTCAGTGTTTTCCTTGATCTGTCTCTCAGTTCACTGAAAGTACCTAAATATAATTCTTTTGAATTCCTTTTCAGGGCATTCTGATGCTGCTTCTTCCTCAGGGATGTGTTCTGGGTCTGTATCCTGGTCTCTTGTTTCTCCTGCTTTATCTTGTTTCTTTGTGTGGAGTGTGATGCTCTGTTGTCTCCAAGGCATTGTGACTTTTTATGTTTATATTTAATTGGTGATTGTATGTTGGAGTGACTGTCCCACAATTTTTGTTTTCTTCGGATGTAATCTACATAAGCAGGGTACTGTGCTCCTATATTCGCTAGTTGGCAGCACTTACACACTTACCACCTGTCTCCTTTCCCATTGTCAGCCTCTTATATGTCCCTGACATCCTTGGCAAATGGAGCCTATTCTTAGGTTCCTGTAATCCAGACAAGAATGTTGTCACTTTAAAATCCAATATTGCCACCTCTTGTAAATATTCAAAATGGCTGCATCCTGTCACTTTAAATATCCAAAATGACCACTGCTTGTAAACAATCAAGTTGGCTGCACCCTCCAGACAGCAGGAAGTCCACAGCTCAGGTTGTCTCCCTCCTTGCTGTTTCCCTTCCTGGTCATAGGCCACCAGCACAGTCGTCCCTGTAGCCCTTGGCAACCAGGGCTGATCTTCAGGTCAATTCTCAGGTCCCAACACCACTTGGAAATATTCAGGCTGTTGGTCCCGTCAGAGTAGCTGACAGTCTGCTGCTCTGACCATCTCCGTACTCACTGTTTTCATTCAGATTTTTCTACTCGTTGGTGCCTAATGCACGTCTGTATCCTTCCTTTCAAAGCCCAGGGCTCCAGGATTATCTTCTGTATCTCTGTCAATTGGTTGCTCTTTTCTTTTTTGAAGAGGGCCTTTGTGGCTTGTCTGTCTATTCTGTCATCTTACTGGCAGTCTTGGAACTCAGTTTTGTGCAGCTGTTGTGGCGTGCACATGTTGTCTGCAGTGGGCAGTGCTCCTGGAAGAGCCTCTGCCCCCTTGGGCAGCCTGCAAGTGTGGCACAGCAGCACGGCTTGGCTGCCGGGCCCAGCAGGCAGCAGATCCCCTAGGTTGGTGCCACCATCCCAAGAATGGCTTGGGTGGTCTTCCCTGAAATTCACCCTGTATCTGTGCCTAGGCCTCGTTGGAGGGAACAGGCCCTGGACTGACTCCCCCAGGGGCGGGGGTGTGTGTGTACGCACACCGTGTTCACTGTGCTGGCTTGTCCCCTCCTCTTGGGCAGGGAGGCGGGGAGGGCCATCTGTCTAGTACGGAGAGTAAGAAGACGTCCACACAACACCCAGAGACCGCAGCACCCAGATCCCAGCTCTGTGCCCACAGGGCTCCTTCCTCAGCCCTCGCTCACTGAGCTGGGCTGCTGGGAGGCACAAAAAGCTTCTTCCAGCTCTGAGCGACTACAGACCAGCCTGTCTCCAAGGGATGTAGGGAACCGGTTTTCTGAGAGAATGTTTTCAAGGGTAACTGGGCAGCATCATTAAAAAACTGTTTCCTTAGAATAAAATGATCATTTATGTCAGTAGACCTACCCAGGCCCCCTATTCAAACATACCATATCCATAACGTGCTGGGAAGACAGTGAGGTGGCCTCTAAGCATTTGCTCCAACCTTGGGCTGTGTTCTGTGAGGCTGACGCCCTCCGCCTACCGGGAGCTTGTGTAAGACAGGCATCGAATGAGGAGAAAGATGATGGAGAACGTACGTGCCCCCGGCCTCGGCTCCCCAGAGGCAGAAGCAGCTGAGTAGCACAGCTGGACCAGCGCCCCGCTGCTCACCCTCCGCCTCCCAGTCAGGGGACGGCCAGAAAGTAGGTTACACGGGCCCCGAGGGCCCGCTGACGGCTGCGTGTGGAAGCGGGGTGGATCACGTTTGTTTTCTGAACAGACACACGAGTAAGAATCCTGCAGCTGCGTTGGGATGAGTGAAGTAAACATGTTTCCACAACAGGCTCCCCCACGGCAGCGGCAGACGGCAGGCAGGTGGCAGCACCGCCTGGGCCCGGGCTGGTCCCACGGGCTCCACCGGGCCCCCCACCTCTGGGTGGCCACACCAGCAGTGACGGGACCTGCTGGTGGGGTGTATTATAGAAGAGCATGTTGAAAGCCCAGTGTTTCAATGTACATGAAAGTATATGTATTTTTGCCATGAAGATGATAACGTATGTTTTTGGAAATAGCGTTTTTGGTGTTCTTCTGTCTCCTGAGGTTTGAGGTACTTTAAGATGCTGTGTGGGTGGGGACTGTTGTTACGGTGTTGCTGGGCTGCTGCTTTGTCTGGGGGCCCCGAGGAACTGCAGGGTGAATTGTGACAGAATGTGACAGGCTGAAGAGTGAGGTTGGTGAGTTGGGTCCAGGGCCCAGGGCTGGGTCTGGACTCTGGGCATTCTGTGTGTATGTGTGTGTGTGTGTGTGTGTGTGTCCAGGCTCGCCTAGCAGGGAGGGCCTCCTCTGTGGCAGAGTTCTCTGAGTGGCTGCTGCGGGCACGCAGGCGCAGCAGGGAGCTGACAGGCAGTCACTATGCACATGGCTGGGTGGGTCCCTCCTGCCCCTGTGATCAGATGCTGAGGGCACCTTCTCCTTTTGCTCCCAGGCCCTCTGTGCCTCTGAGGCAGGCCCACTAACAGCACACACCGTTGGTCTTCCACAATGTGCAGGACTCACACACCATAAGATGTTCGGTCTACTCCTCATAAACCAAAAAACAAAACAAAACCCAACCCACTGCCATCAAGTCGGTTCTGACTCATGCCAACCCCCACTGGGTTTCCAAGGTGGTAAATCTTTATGAAAATAAATTTCCTCGTCTTCCTTCCACAGAGCAGCTGGTGGGTTTGAACCGCTAACCTTCTGGTTAGCAGTCAAATGCCTTAGGCACTGCACCACCAGACCGCCTCCTACTCCTCACGGATCCTCTTAAGTGTGAACAGGATGCTATCAGCACCACCACCATGCTCTTGTTAGCTCTGGGAACACTGAGTTTAGAGGGTCAGGCACTCTCCCAGGCCATATGGCCCAGACAGGGAGCTGGGTCAGCCCAAGGCTTCCCGGCCCAAAATCTATGGTCTTCTACCACATCACTCTTTTCTAGAGTGGGGTTCGTAAACGAGGTGCTGTGTATAGCAGACCCTCTGAGACACGCTGATGGGGACAGGTTTCACAATCACAGGTTGATGGCGGATGGTTTGGCTGCTTCCTGTGAAGAGGGTTATTTTAAAGCTGCTGTGTTAAACTGGAAGGAACTCTGGTAGGGTAGTGGATAAGCCATTTGGCTGTTAACCAGAAAGTCAGTGGTTCAAACCTACCAGCTGCTCCATGGAAGGAAAATGGGGCGATATACTTCCATAAAGATTTACAGCCTTGGAAACCCAATGGGGGTCTATGGTGGTTAAGTTTGTGTGCCAGTTTGTCTGGGCCTGGTTGAGTGGCTGGGCTGCTGGATGCAGTATTCCCCATGATGAGACCGGCAATCAACTCCATAGTGGAATCTACTGTGAGCAACCGAGTAGCAGCCTTAAGGATGTGGTCTGCTTCCTGTATATAAGAAAGAGCTTTGGGAATGGTCTCTAGCTTATGGCACAGTTGGACCCTGCATGTAGCTGTGTCTTTGTTGTACAGCAGCCTGCCATGCTCTGCCGACACCTTGGGACTTTCAATGGACTTGAATTAATGGCCTGCTGTGTGGTTTGGTAACATTGGGACCGTGCCATTTTATTTGTCAACCTTGGGCTTGTTAGTCTCAGCAGCCAGTAGCTGCCTGAGTGAAGAGATGCCTCTAGCTTCAGTGGGCCGGGAGCAAGAGGCAGAGCTGAAGCCCAAGGTCGAGGGGCTTTCACCCAACCCCTAGAGCCTGGCACTTGAAACTCGGACTTCTAGCCTCCAAACTGTAAGAGAATAAACTCCTGTCTGTTCAAGCCATCCCATTTGTGGTATATATCCCTGTCAGAGTGGCACTAGGGAACCAGAACAGGGTCACTATCGGAATCGACTTGATGGTAGTGAGTTTGGTTTGGAGTTTTGAGTATTAAACTGACTTGGCGGAGCAGAGTGCCTGAGCAAACAAGCGTCCTGCCCTGAATGGGCCCATGGCCACATTTTCCCAGTGCCCCCGGCCGTGCCTCCCCACCCCTGCCCTCAGAATGAAGTCTGAGGGGAGTAGGGCCTGCACCCAGCCTGAGGACAGGCGCCCGCTGGCCCTCCTACCTGCCCAGTTGGAGGGGTGCGCGAAGGGCTTGCTGCTCTGCACCACCTTCATGGCCTCCCCCAGGGCGGCGCTGGCCTTCAGGCCGTTCAGCAGGGATGAGTAGAAGGCGTGGATGAACATCTTGGAAGCAGCCACCGGCACAGGCCACAGAGACACGAGGACGCACTGTGCACCAGCAGCCAGGAAGGCCCGAGTCAGTGCAATGACCCCGTCGGCCGTGACTTTGCTGCTGGACTCCTGGGAGGAGCTGAGGACCACCAGCTTCACGGGCAGCCGCAGGCCCAGGACGTCCGCGGCCGTGAGCAGTAGCTCCTGGAGGGGCGGGCAGTCTGAGATGCTCTCCACGTCGCTGGCGTCATCCTGCACCCGCAGGGACTCGGGGATCGTGTAGGGGTGGCCAAAGGAGCTCTTGCTGCTGGCAGGGTTGCCGTCCGTGTTGGGTGTGAGGACCAAGGCTGACAGCTTCCAGGAGATGTGGGTGGCAAAATGGACACACTCTGCCTGCGTCAGGGCGCTCATGACCCTCTCCTTGGTGGCCACACTGCCCACCAGAGGCTGGCAACCCAGCAGCTCCGACACTGTGTAGGCTTCCTCCTCGGCTGACGGCATCGGCCCCCACAGCCACCTGTCCATCACTGCTGCCGGGAGTTTGGGGTTGCCGACGACGGCTGCCACGGACGTGGAGCTGGCATAGGCAGGCGGGCTCTTCCTCAGATGAGACTGGTGGCGGGGGGGGCGGGGAGAGAGACAAGCACAGGCCATCAGACACAGTGCCAGGCCCCGCTGTGGGGCTGCTCCCCGACCTCCCAGTCACCTTCCTCTTGACCAGTCACATCTGCTCTAACAAGCTCTTAAAGAATTAGGACACTTCCTACTTGTCAGGGACCTGGGGACGGCGGAGCAGGGAGGGACAAATGTGATGGCAGGGGAAGGGGTGGCATACTGGGATGCCCGGGACGGCCTGCCCACCTGTAGCATTTACCCCTGCAATGAGAAGCCTGCTCGGGGACAGAGGGGTTCTGAGAACAGGGACAGCTGTCTGAGGCTGGAGACGTGACGCCAGTCGTCATATCAAGAGAGTTCTGCAGCCAGGGCAGGTGGTGCTGCTGCCAGTGGGGTGCCAGTTGATGGGGGCCCTGCTCAGGGCCTCGGGTCGCTGAGAGAGCCGGAGGCGGGGAGAGGGGACAGGGTTGGCTCCAAGCCCCCACAGGTGCTCGGGGCCACGGTGCCGGCGGGGGGAGCCTGGGACACGGTGGATGGTGCTCGTTTGCCACCTTGGGTCACACAGACCTCTCTGTGCTGAGGGAGACCCGAATCCCCGGCTGTCCCCTGAAAGCCACCTCATTTGCTTGCAGTCCCTTCACTGGCCTGTTGGACTCTTCCGCTGAACACTTGTCTCATCTGTCTGCCATCCCCTGCCTGCGGACCCTAAGCTGTGCAGCACGCATGGCCCAGGTGAGGTCAGCCTGGGGGACGGTGGTGCGTGTGGCATCTGTGGTCCCTGAAGTAGTGACCCCCCCCACACACACACACACACACAGCCAGACCCTGGAGACTTTGTCCGGCCTGACACCTGACTTCCTGTATCCAAGCAGCTCACTACCCTAATGGCACAGCCAAGGAACTTCATGGGGATCAATGGCAGAGTCGTGACGGCCATCCTCCTGCCTCCATTTTAAAGTCACTCTACCTAGTTGCAAACTATGAAATAAACATTTGTAAGAGGTCACACACTACCCCAAGTAATATAGTCCGTTGGCCGGCGAGACGAGCCCACCACAGGCCTGCGCGTTACCTTGGCCTGCGGGCTGAGCGAGCGGATGGAAGGCACGGCGATGAGGGCGAAGCGCTCGTACAGGTACTCGTTGGAGGAGCTTCCCTTCAGGAGGGCGAAGGGTATGAGGTAGAGCTCCCCCTCCAGGACCAGCACCAGCTGCCGGTGGCGTCCCACGGGGCCGCTGGAGTGCATCAGACCCTGCGGGAAGAAGAGGAGGTGCACACAGGCGTGTCAGGAGCCCACCGGGCGTCTGGGGACCAGCAGGGCGTGAAGGGTGGTGTCCCACACAGACAAGTGCAGCCCCGGGAAATCCAGCCAGTCTGCACAGGAGAACAGGACTAACACGATGGCTAGCACCCCAGAAAGACACTGTGAGTCACGCGTACAGCAGATGAAAGGCAGGGAGGCTGCCTCAGCACGGGGGACCTAGGCACAGTGTAGGAATGACACCTCAAAACAGGAGGCAAGCACTCGGCCAGAGTCGGATACAGAAGCTGCAAGATCAGACGGAGGCTGGAAAGTTCTGGAACTCAGGCTGACTTCTCCCAGGGAAGGGCTTCCAGGAGAAGGGGAGGGGCTGGACCAGACCCAGGGCCTTCTGCAGAGAATGGACCCTGCTGGTACTGGCCCCACCAGCTCCCTCCAGGACGTCAGGGGACCTGACACACGGATGGGACCTCCATCACGCCTGCAAGGACACTTCTCCTGGTCTACCCACTCAGGCCTGCTCTCCACACACACTTCTTTTGAAAGAGCCACCAGTGGAGACTGCAGCCCTAGGAGTCTTGAAACAAATAGGCACGAATTGTGACAACTAGACGAGCAGAGATGACCCAGGAGCTGCTGGTGTTGCAGGAGCTGAGCAGGGCCGCCACTGCCCAGGGCCTGTGGGAGGGGGCTCCCATCCCTTTGTATCTGCAGGGCTGGCTGACGAGTGCGCCCCTCGCCCCGGGCTGCTCTGTTCTGGGAGCACACGTGCGTCCGCTCGCCTGACCCACTGCCCTGGGCACGGGGCTGCGGGTGGCGAGGCGTTCACTAACCCACAGTGACATTGCCTGGCGGGCTCTCAGTCTGTGGCTCTATGCTTCCTTGGTATTTAATTTTAGCTTCATCTAAAGCATACAGAAATCAAAATTATTAGGCCAGTTTGCTTCTTGTTTGCATTAGAGCTATTTTCTAAGATGGGGTAGGGTACAAGCCAGGAAGGAGGGACTTGGGGTGGTGTCACAGGGAGCCTAGTATATAGCCCGTGGGGTGACTTTCGGGTCAGTACAGGGAGGGGGCGGGGCAGGCGCCATCAGCCACAGGCACCTGGGCACGGCTTTGGCCCGTGGGCCACGCCTGCAGCCCTGGTCAGCCTCACTGCTGGAGGGTAGCCCTGAGAAGCCCGCTGTGGGAGCAGCCACCATGCTGCCTTGACTATGCCAAGGGAGCCTGGGAGCTTCACCAGAGCGTGGGGCAGAGGCCCCTCGACCTCACAGATGAGGTCTGCAGCTGTGACAGGGACAATCTGCTCGCTGCTCAGAGACAGCCAGGCTGCCAGAGCTGTGGGCAGGGAGCCCCGCCGACTGCATGGGGGCCCAGGCGCTGGTGTGATGAGCTGCCAGCCCACACCCACAGGCCCCCGCGTGTCTCCGCCAGCTAACACCCCACAGGCACTGATTTCTCAGGACACGGGTCCCCAGTCACAGCACACCTGTGACCAAAGGCACTCACTAAGGAGCACTGGGTAAGGGAAGCGGCTGGAGTCCACTGAGGGGCTTTGTAGGAGTCTGTCACTCCCCACAGAACCTCTGATCGGACCAAAGGCTGGCGCTCCCAGTCCGGGGAGCAGCTGTGTGTCTCCTCTGCTTGATTTCTGCCTCTCCATGAGGGGCGATCCCCTCACGTGGCTGCCTTCCTGTTGGAAGTCATTGTCCTAAGTCCCACCTCAGCTGCTCCCACCAACTGCGTGATAGTATCTACCACGTACGATCCTGGAGCATGAGTTAGGACAGAGTCCCTGCTGCAGAGTGTATGATGCACTTAGAAAAATACAACACACACCAGAAAGCATCGAGTCTCTTACGTCGGACAGCACCATGTAAGTATCAAGCGTCAACCCCAGCCTGCGGGAAAACCTTCCCCGGACAAGCAGCCGGGCCTTGCCCAGGAAGCTGGCATGGGCGGGGAGGGCAGACCCGGCCTGGGCAGAGGCGGCCTGGAGGCAAGGCTGGGGGGGCGTGGAGGACCCAGAGGTCAGATGAGAAAGCCTGGTTCTCGCGGACCGCAAGGCTCTGCCGTTCCAGGCGCAGGAACCATCCTGAAGGCATTCAGGAGCCTGAGTCGTAGGAGGGGGACATGCACAGGAATTCACACCCGAGTGGCACACACAGAGAGGAGGGGGACTTGGTGAGTAGCGGCCTAAACGTCAAGGAGAGGAAAACATCTCGGAAACTCAAGCCTAGGAGAGGGGAGGCCCTCCTAACTGCCTCTCTCAATCTACAGGCCCGTGTCCTCCTGCGACAGCACTTAGCAGGCACAGAGCCTGGTCCTCTGGGTGAGGACCTGGAACGTGACCCGTCGGGCAGTGTGAAATCAGGGGGTGCCACAGCAGCTGCCCTCTGCAGCACCGGGCTCATGGGGAGGTGGGGTTGGACGGCAGACCGACAGCTCAGTCCAAAGGCAGAGGGAAGAACTGACCGACCGTGTGGAGCTGCTGAGAAACGGTCTCCTGATCAGCCTCCAGGATATATGAGCCTTGCCCTTGTGGTGAAAGAGACGAGCTCTAATCCAATGTGAACTTGCAAATGGACTCTATCTGAATCACACATCATCAGTGAGTTGGAAAAGCAGAGGCAACCCAAGGACACACCACTCCGTGCTTCGAGTGTCTGTCTGGGAAAGGTGCTCCCTGTAGCTCACGTCCTGGGTTCAAAGATCAAAGGACTGAGGCATCAGTCCCACGCCGGCAACTAACAGAGCCCAGTACGCTCCAGCAAAGGCTTGGACTGGCTGACCCCTAAAGTTCCCAGACCGGGGATCCCTTGGAGGAGACTAGGTCTGGTGGTGTAGTGGATAAGGGATTTGACTGCTTACTGGAAGGTCAGTGGTTCAAACCCACCAGCTGCTCGGTGGAAGGAAGACTGGGCGATCTACTTCCATAAAGATTTGCAGCCTCGGAAACCCAACAGAGGTTGCTATGAGTTGGAATTAACTCAATGGCAATGAGTTTGGTTTTTGTTTCTAGGTCCTTGAACACCTGTTTATTTCCAGGGTTGCTGCATCTCTCTGAGCTGGGACCCCGACCATCACAAATTCCAGGCTAGAAAGCTCACTGTGAGCCAGGCCCAGGAATATAAAAGGAGAAGGCCGAGCGAGCACCCTGGCAGGGAGGCCACCGTGCCCACACTGTGATGGCTGTGGCTGGTGTGAGAGCCTTGTGGTCTAGGGCGGGAACAGGCACACAGACAGCTCACACAGGGTGGCCCTGAGTATTACCCCAGCCCCAGACATGGCCTTCAGTACCCGCCCGGTGATCCTAGATGACCCATGAGCAGTGCCCTGTACCTGGGCTCGGTGTGGAACTCTCTGAGGAGGGCGCCCTCTGGAGGCCACTGCAGGGGAAGAGGCTCTCCGTCTGCAGCAGGGCCCAGTCACTGAGTGTGTGACCACAGCCAGTGGAGCTGGCCCTGGACGTGGTCCCGCTGTGACCGGGCAGGCCTGGCCTGGCCTGGCCTTTCCGCAGCCCTCTCTACATGGAACCAGAGCCCTGGGCGCCCAGGGACTGCTTCCCAGGACTCACCCTTGCTGCTCTCCACCCTCCGGTCTGGCCAACCAAGAGCACCTCCGTGTTTGTGGCTGCCACCCCTTCTCCAGTGTCTTCCTTCAGCTCCTCCCTTCAGCCCCACAGGACCACAGAGTTTCTTTCAGGGCTTCAAACCGGTTCATTCTGGTTCCACCCCAGATAGACTGACCAGAACCTACAGTTTAACACATTGCCCAGGTGATCAGGTTACAGTGGGGATTCGGATTCAGTCTACCTGGGGTGGAAATGCAACTTCTCAGCAGAGGGTCAAACCAGAATGAACCAGTTCAGAGTCCCGGTTTCCTTTCATCTCACAGTGAGTCTTTCATCATAGTTAACAGGAGCTCTGGTAACATAGTGCCTAAGGCACTTGACTGCTAACCAGAAGGCTGGCGGTTCAAACCC